GGCGCCCCGGGGCGGCGGGGGGGGGCCCTGCAAGGTCGCCCCCGCCGCTGCTGTATATCATGAGATAATCGCCCAACTGAGAATGACACGAGCGCCTGGAGAGGCCTCTGCCGCTCCAGCCTCACCTCAGATTACATCAGCTGCTCCGCTCTGAACTCCCAGCCTGGTTTTTGGAGCCGGGAGCAGTTGTGCCAGCCGGGAGCTTCACCTTCCCGCAGCTCCGGGGCAGCTGCCCACGGCGTGGGACGCTGCGGGGCTGGAGCTGGAGCCAGGCTGAGCTGCAGACCCCCTGGTTTTACAGACAGCAGGGCAAAAGATGTGCACGCTCTTATCACCCTGTGCTTAATCCCTCCTCCTGGAAAATGTGAGGATCCAAATTCCACCTGAAAAAAAAAAAAGAAAAAAAGGAATTAACATTACGCACTAGACATGAAAACCAGTGGTCAGCCACAACTGTAAACTCGCGTACACAGGACAAGGGGTAATGGTTTTAAACAAAACCAGGGTAGGTTTAGACTAGATATAAGGAAGAAATTCTTTACAGTGAGGGTGGTGAAACACTGGAAGGGGTTGCCCAGAGAGGTGGTGGAGGCCCCATCCCTGGGAACATTCCAGGCCAGGTTGGACGGGGCTGTGAGCAACCTGATGTGGTTCAAGGTGTCCCTGCTCCTGCAGGGGGGTTGGGCTGGGTGACCTCTGGGGGTCCCTTCCCACCCAAAACATTCTATGATTCTATGATACGTCTTACCACAAAGTGACACGCTGTTCTTATCAGGCCCATAGGCAAATTAATAATTACTTTAGGAAAAAAAACTTGAACTTGACCCCAAAGTAGCTAGGGGATAGGGATTTATTTAAAAGAAAACATGTAGGTACTAAAGGCAGAATCATAAAAATAAAATGCTAGAGGAATGCAAAATACAGGAGGCAAATTTAAGGCTACTGAGCTGAAATACGGATCTATTTACTCAAAATGAATCAAAAAATGTGGACGGAATCCCTTCTGGCTATATATTTTGGCTAGTGGTATAGAAATACTCCATTTGTTGCAAACGTTTCATTGTGGTCGCTTTTCAGTCTTCCCTTGGCTGAGAGTATTCAAAACTTTTTTTCATTCATCTCAATCCTTTAGTAGATACAGACTATTATTATGGCACTTGGTAATTAAATGCCATTTTAAAAACATATTAAAATAGTTTCAAGATTTATATTAAAAGAAAGTTTGTTGCTTTTTGTACCGTGTCCAGTAGAACACTCCAGATATTCTTCTGACACTCAGTTCTGGTGTAGGTACTTAACAAGCAAAAAATGTGATGTGTCAAACCGTAAGCGCACTTAAGATTTTTTTAATTCCATCGAGTACTGAATAGGTCTGACAGGTCTGGGAAAGATTTGATATTTCTGAGCTATTCTTCGAATTTTTAAATTACAGGCTCAGCAGTGAAGCAATAGTAACCCCGGTCGGCGCGGCCTTGCGTGCTGCAGGAGATCCTTCACTTTGTCTCTGAGTACACAGCTGCTCTTAGTAACTTCACGCAGGCTTAGAAATGTTTTTCATTTTCTTATACGCTCACTTCATTAAAAAAATTCAGTACCAGGCTGGAATGATTTCTGCTTCTCCAATTCAGAAATATTTCTTCTGAAAAAAAACGCCCCAAAACCCAACCCCACAAGCAGAGGCTTTACCAATAAGCGAGTGTTTGAAGTGAAACTTGCGGTTCCTTCTCTCCTCACTGGGTACCACCTACGTGGGAGGATACAGCGCTGCCTCCATCTGCCTTGAAGTCATTCAGCTCTACACCGTCCTTCCCGAGCCACGTAATCTCCGGGAAAAAACAACCGCCAACAACTCTAGAAGTAGGACCTCATCTAATAAATGCTTCCTCTATCCCCCTCCTAAAGATGCCTTTAATGCTAATTAAGCAGCTGTGATGCTTAATTAGCCAATACTGGCTGGTAAAACCCAGCAGCAAGGGAAGATTTTGTACCTCTCCCTTCCCCAGGAGACGTGGGCCGTAGCTTGGGGGTGGGTGAAGCCCCCGGTGTCCTGAGCACCTTTCCCGCGGTCCCTGTTCAGCGTCCACCGGTGGCTGCGGAGGAGCCTGGGTGACCTCACGAAGGAGCCTGGGTGACCTCACGAAGGAGCCTGGATGACTTCACGAAGGAGGAGCGGGAGCACAGCGAGGAGACAGCTTGGCCGGCTTTCAGCGGCGCATTTGTGATTTCAGATGCTTGGCAGCCCGCAGCCCAGCTTGGAAAGTGGGCGTTGTTTAAATGTTACTCGGAAGGTGAAGTTTCTATATATTCCTGCGGTTGGTTGCGAGGTGGGAGTGGGGATGGAGAAGCTCCGCTCCCCCTGCCACGAGCCGGGTGAGGGGAGCCAGCCTGGAAAACCTTACGCGCCAAAATGCTCTCACAACCAACTTTTACTTTGACATGGGAGCGCGGCTCGGGGCCACTCCTGCCCTCTGCTCCAGCGGCGAGTTGACTTCCTCCCATTGTCTTTGGGGAAGCACAACGGAGGAGAGGTGGCGGAGGTGGCGGTGACGGCGGGGATGGTCCCCATCCCCTGGAA